TATATATATTCTAGATTCGTTAGTTGTATCTTTAACTTTGATATGCCTCCTCTTCAACGGGAGCAAGTTTACTACAGCGTGTGATGGGCGGCTTACTATTACCGATACGTCGAATCGAAAAACTGGAGTCGTGCGCTTGTTATACTCTCACCCGGCCAGTTCAGTGTACCTATATCTCCCACCTCTAATAGAGTGCAGGTCAGATCGGTATGGTTGTCTCAGCCTTGCTCGTATCAGATTGTACCAACACACTGCCTACGTTCAACCTATTTATTGGGGGGATGAAGAAATTTACACTATAATACCGAACATTAAAGCCTGGGTTTCAGTAATATACTTTTGAATCACTGCGCCCTAAAACTGTCAATGAATAAATATGCGAGAGGCTTTGACTTTGGTCATTATCGGATTTATTAACGATTTGGAAATGATTATTTTGCGTCCCTGGACCCTTTTTTTTTAATGCAATTCGATGTCTTCAGCATATGCCGCTTTCTTATTCGTCTTCTGTAGTTGATCTCTAACCCTGGCCTGCCTGAATTATTCATGAGCCTTTAATCAGTCCAACGAAAGAGCTTTCATTGACTACACTATGGGTGAATCTTTGAGCCAGGATCGTTCTAATAGATAGCCACTCCAAAATCTGTAATATCCCAAATTTTTGTTGCCAAATAGTTCCCTAGCAAGTATAAATATCCACGTTTTCGGATCAAGCTCGCAGTCAAAAAGCTCAAAATCTTCAATACTCCTGGTTACTCCCTCTATTCTACTTTCCCTACTATTTTGTTACATATGGTTAAATGTTATCCTCAAAACTAACGCTCAAAATTTCTCTTCAATATTTCTGTTTATTCATACAATTTTGTTACTCGTAGTCTCGTCGTAGGTACTATCTAGTTTTTTAAATGTTATCCTCAAAACTATGGCTCAAAATACTTATACTCCTGATCATTCCTACAATTTTATTACTTATATAGTCACTTCGAAGTACTAAGAAGTTTTAATAGTTTCCTAACTTAAGACTCAAAATCTTTTTAGTATTCCAGATTATTCCTACGATTTTGTTATTAAAATATACTCCCTCCATAGGAACAATCAAGTCTTTTAAATGTTATCCTCCAATCTGAGGCTCAAAATCTTTTTAATATTCCTGATTATTCCTACGATTTTGTTATTAAAATATACTCCCTCCATAGGAACAATCAAGTCTTTTAAATGTTATCCTCCAATCTGAGGCTCAAAATCTTTTTAATATTCCTGATTATTCCTACAATTTTGATACTAATATAGTCTCTCAGCAAGTAATATCTAGTTTTCCAGATCGGAATCGAAGTCAAAAGGCTCTGGTGCGGCGGCTTCGTTCTTCTCTTCCTCGTCCTTTGTATCCGCTTCGTGTGGCGTTGTCATGGCAACCAGTGTCTCGGGTTCCTCGGGTGTCTTATCCTTTACCATCACTATACCAGCCAGTTCACGTATAGGCTCGTACCTGAAGGGAGACAATATCAAATAACAAGAGTTTTAACTTTGAATGCCGAGATAGGATAGTATTGAGATAAGAATGTTCAGGCCTAAAAGAATTTTCTTATGCTTTAAGATCGGATATAGTCCTAAGTCAGATCCCTGGGATATCAAAATAGAGCACGAGCAGGTGGTAAGATAGTTCATCGAGAAAAGATTCTGATCATAATAGAATTGCACAATAGTCATTTGTACGCGCATTTCACGAATATGCATATATACATACATACATACATACATACTTATATATATATATATACATGTATATATACATACATATACATATATATATACATACATATATATATATATATATGTATATACATACATACATACATATATATATATATATATAATATATATGTATACGTAAATGTATATATGTATGTATATACATACATGCATACAGACATACATATATATATATAAAATATGTATACGTATACGTATACGTATACGTATACGTATACGTATATATATATATGTATATATGTATATACATACATACATACATACATGCATACATACATATATATATATATATATTAGATATATATATTAGATATTGATATAGATATAGATATAGATATAGATATGGATATGGATATGGAAATGGATACGGATATGGATATGGATATGGATATGGATATGGAAATGGATACGGATATGGATATGGATATGGATATGGATATGGATATGGATATGGATATGGATAAAGATACAGATATAAATATCGATATAGATATACACATACATATATACAGACAAACACAGTGTGTATGGCCATACCTGTCTCCTTCAATATGAACATATTGGCGTTGCGCGGCCACAACACGAGCGGGATTGGACAGCATTTGATACTCGGTCGGTTGTGGCTGCTTCTCCTCTTCGGCAGCTGGTTCGTCTATCGCCTGCGTGGTACGGAGCGTAGCAATCCAGAGGCATCAATTAACTACAGTCTTGTCTTAGTAGCAGTCAACAAGTATAGGTTAGAAGTATGCCCCCCCCCCCAAGTCTGAGGAGGCTTACACTAGAACGTGTGGGGCCAAACTGTTATAGATGAAGCTACATAAGTAGCGTACTATATACGCCCATATATCATGCTCAGTCATAGTGAGAGAAACAGGCCGGCGAGTATGTGTGGGACTGTGTAGCTATTCTCACGCCATACGTTCAGAAGTACAACCCATTTTGGATTTACCAACAGTGCTTGCAGTCTACGCGCCCGTATATGCCAAAACGCATACGCATACAATCAAACGCCCTGTGCGTAAGAACATCACGATCCTCCGTGAGCACACCCAGACACATACCCACCACCACAGAGCCATACGTATACACATCCACACAACCACACACCACCCATCCATATTTGCACACGAACACACACACCAACCCATCCATATTTGCACACGAACACACACACCAACCCATCCATATTTGCACCCGAACACACAAATCAACCCATCCATATTTGCACCCGGACACACACACACACCAACCCATCCATATTTGTATCCGAACACACACACACTAACCCATCCATATTTGCACCCGAACACACACACCAACCCATCTATATTGGCACTTGAACACACACCAACACATCCCTATTTGCACCCCAACACAACACACACACACAAACACACACGCACGTACCATAGGCTCCTCCTGTGGTGCTGGCTCGGGCTCTTTCTCGCCTTTGCCCTCTTTCTTCTGCTTGGCTCTCATTTTCTGTGTGATGGACAGGATGGCTGTTGACACCTTCTCCTTCTTCTCTTTCTTCTCCACTTCCATCTTAGGTGGGTAGGCGAACAGCGAAGCCTTCGCGTCTGATTTGACCTGTTTTCGTGTGCGTGTAGGTGAGAGGTTTAGGTGTGTGTGAGAGAAAGAGAGGGGGGTTAATCATAATAATAATCATGATAATAATAACAATAATATATACATACATATACATATACATATACATATACATATACATATACATAATATATAATACATGTATATATATATGTGAGTGAGTGAGTGTGTGAGACAATAAGTCCGTGTGTGTATACTTGTATTTATATATCTATACACACACATATTATATATACATACATATATAAGTATATGCACAAACCTCCGCCTTAGGCATCTTGAGATCCTTGTTCAACAGTACTAGGGATGTGGGGGTGAAGGCTAGTGACAGGAAATTGGCCATGGGATACCAATTCCAAAACTGTGAGAACAACAACAGCCCAGTCGCTGTGCGCATGCTTGTATGCCCGGTCCTGTGAAGAGATAAGACGCGAGAAAGTGACACGAAAAGTGTCAAGTGTCAAGAGAAGGACAATATAGTGTCGAGAAAGTGACAACGTAGCGCCTATAAGGTGTCTTAAAGTACGTCGCTTGGAACGTGCGTCGGAGGAGTATACGTATGATCATATGCGATATTTGTGATATGACTGGCTTGAGCATGCAGGCGCATGCACAGTACAATAAATATCCCGAGTCTCGAGGCTATCTGCAGTAGCCATTTCAAGTTTATAAACACACACACAGTACCCCGAGACGCACAATTCTCAAAGCTCTCTCAAGTGAACAAGTACGCATACGATACTAGAGCAATACGCACCACCAGTGAATAAGAGTATATGCGCATAGATGCAGTACTACAAACACATGTATAGTACCACAGCTACACCTTTCTCGTGAATCTCTAGTGAACAAGCACGCACAACACACAGTAATAGAAGTACGCACCTTCAGCGAATAAAAGTATATGCGCATAGATGCAGTACTACAAACACACGTACAGACAGTACCAGAGCTACACCGTTCTCGTAAATCTCTCTAGTGAACAAGCACGCACAACATACAGTACTAGAGCAATACGTACCTTGAGGCTAAGGAAATGGTTGCATTGCGACCCCCGGCATCGATGATACCCTGGGCGAGAATAGCTCCGAACTTCGCCGATGTGTCTTCAGACTTATCCGCGATTACCTGGAGACGCCAACGTATGCCCACAGAATTAGGACTCAATCACAGACGCGTACAGAGAGGCATGTATACTCATACAGAATGAGGGGTTTAGTATATGAATGTCTAGGCATCTGGCTTCTAATTTAACAGCGACGAACGAAACGGCGGTACACATCGACCAAAAATCTATAATATATATATATATATTAAGTATCAGAAATCCGGTTTTGATCAACCGAATACAAAAACTGTATTTGTTTTCGGGGTGGATTGTACGAATGGGTCGCTTTTCCGGCCAACTTCAGTGTGTAGTGTGTGGGATTGTGATGTGATGTGGAAATTCGGGCGCTTCTCATAAACCATCGCAAACACTCCGCACACTCCGCGTACAATTCTGTATCAAACGAAGTGAGTACAAGTACATGTACGTGCGGCACGTGCCCAACCCACCCTACACCCGTACAGACCACGTGACCACGTGTGCATACAACTGGCCAATGCCTATACCCATCCACAACGAAGTGAGTACCACTTACATATACAAACATCCGCATAGGGTTTGCGTGCAGTGTTAGGCCTTGCGTGTCTGTTGCTCGTTCGCTCGGTTGCACAAGGCCTACCGTCGTCATGGCTGGCAACCAGCGCAAAACTCAGCACACAAAACACAAAGCTATATTTCGACCCAAATACTATGCACAAATGATCGCCGTAAAACGCATATACTTCTCCCATACATGTACATATCATGCACAGACACAGACACAGACACAGACATACACATATATATATGTACACACCTTCTCGAAGGTCTTGCGCACAAAGGTGGCCTTGGGTGTCTGCTGTTCGCTCTGCTGCACCATTACCATGGCCATGGCAATGAGCGCCCCTTGCCTAACAAAGTCCTTTGCGTCGTTGATCATAGGCTCCAGCAGCCCAATAGCTTCCTTCATGCCTGTACCCGCACACGAGAACCCGAGCGCGAGCGCTGCTCCGTATCTATAAATAGAATGGAGGAGTGTGTGTACGCATATATCAGTAACTATGCACATGTACGTTCTGTAGATGTCTATATAATCTTGAATGCGTAGGCTGTATATAGTATAGGTGAATGCGTAGGCTGTATATAGTATAGGTGAATGCGTAGGCTGTATATAGTATAGGTGAATGCGTAGGCTGTATATAGTATAGGTGAATGCGTAGGCTGTATATAGTATAGGTGAATGCGTAGGCTGTATATAGTATAAGTGAATGCGAATGTACATATGTACTAGAAAATAATACTGTACTATTTATATTAGGCTTCAGCAGCACGACTGTATGCCTAAGACTGACGCTAATCCGTATTTATCAAGGGATATTAATGTACCTATTTACATAGATATACGGGTTGTCAGATGCTCGCATTAGACGATTGTATGAATGTATATACGGTAGTTCTTAGCTGCACTTAACTGCACATACATATACACATACACTCATACACACACACAGGTATATACACGTACACGTACACATACAATACACACACACACACCTGACATGTGGATTGTAACTCTCACTGAGCAGTGACACAACCGCCGGGCATTGTCTGGGAGTGCGGAACAGAAGGAACCCCAGTGACGTAGTGGCCGCACGACGAACGTCGTCGTTGACATCTGACACCGCAAAATGCAGCAAACGAAGCAACGCTGCGTTGTTACCAGTGCCGATGTAAGCCATACCGATCATGTACATGGCACTGAGAGAATTGGTTAGGAGAAGACATGTGGAGTGAGTGGGTGAGGGAGTGTGGAGAATGGAAAAGGGGGAATAGGATATCATATATATATATATATATATCAATACATACGTACATACGTACTTACGCAGACACACGCAAAAGCGACGCTTAAACAGACCTGAACCGTAGGATGGGATCTTTGTCCTCACTCAGGCGATCGATCAACGAATCAGCCTCCTCTTCACGTGCGTACATGATCAGTGCCAGACCTAGAGCCAGCCCACGAATGATCTTTTCATGCGCCGTCTGTGATGAGAAAATACAGGATTAAAACGTCACATGTGAGACAATAAGGGATTGACGGGATATGCGTGAGAGTGAAGCGATCCATGCTTGCGTACGTTGTCAGTGCTAGTCATATAGCAAAATAACACACATGGTAAACGAATACACAAACGTTCTTATGCAAATTTACACACACAAGTCAATTTACAACATCCACACACGCACACATATGCATGCATACAACTATACATATCACAACAAACTCTACATCGCACATGTATATGTCGGAATCGACAAACGGCATAGGTACATGCACATAAAGTACAAAACTACAATCGTAGACATACTAACACACACGCATGCAGTTTACCTCGTGTGCGTAGTTGATCATGTCTTCAATAGCTGCCTCGTTGGCTGAGCCTAGCATGACTAGACCCATCGACAGACCCGCAGCTTCACCCGCGACAGCAGAATCGCTGCGAGAAAAACAGTCAGAGATAAGAGTGTGTGGAATGGAACAATGATAACGCTTTATATGTTCATGGGGTGGTATGGTGGGTGTGTGGGGTATATAAGTGTGTGAAACGGAATAATGATAACGCTTTATATGTTCCTGGGGTTGTATGGTGGGAGTGTGGGGTATAAGTGTGTCAAACGGAATAATGATAACGCTTTATATGTTCATGGGGTTGTATGGTGGGTGTGTGGGATATAAGTGTGTGAAACGGAATAATGATAACGTTTTATATGTTCATGGGACTGTAAGGTGGGTGTGTAACAATCAGATTTCAGTTCCCATGACACAAGAAGAGCGTATTACATAGCATAGATTAACCTCAAGTACCATTCAATCAACTCACAGGATGACTCACAGGATGACTCACCCGCAACCGCATAATTGCTGTCCGTGTGTCAGTGTGATGGCAGTGTATATTACAAAAAGAATGTTTTGAGAAGTAACAATGGGGTATACCCGAGCACATATACACACGTAAATACCTGCAAATCTATTTTCTTATACCCAAGCACATACATACATACATACATACATATATATATATATATATATATACATACATACATACATACATATATATATATATATACAAACATACATACATACAAACATAAATATAAATATAAGTATAAACATAATATAATCATAAATATAAGTATATATATATATAAGAATATATGTATATATATATCTATATATCTATATAATATATACATACTCATACCTGTATAGCACATTCTTAAGCTCCTCAAAGATACTCTCATTGCCCGTCGCCATTTGAGCACAGCCCAAGCCAAGGCACGCTCCGTGTTGCAATATTTCGCGATGCATCAAATCGGTGGTTTCCACCTATGCCAAGTATTATACCAACGGAATGTTAGGATAAATACCAGTTTAATAAATAGATGAATACATATACATATACATACATACATACATACATTATATATAGGGCTAGAAATGGTAGGTTGCGTGTGCGTTAGCCTAAGATCAGAAGGATAAGGAAAAGAAAAAGTATATAATACATTTCATATCACAATCCAGTGTCTAACCAGGATGCTTGGCCGTAGTCACACCTAGACAGACACATAACCTCACCTAACACTCGACCGCATGAACCGAAGTTGTCATCTCACACGCTATCTTTTAAACATGAAGTAAGTATACTATAGACGATACATAACACAAACACAGCTTACACCAAGACAGCCACCTTTCACTCTATTCTTAGAAGACGCAAGAGCTCAGTACTACTACAGATGACATATAACACAAACGCAACTTACACCAGGACAGTCACCTCTTACTCTAGCAACAGCTCAGTAGTACTACAGATGACACATCATACACAAAAACGCAGCAAACACCAAGACAGTCACCTCTTACTCTATTCTTAGAAGGCGCAACAGCTCAGTAGTACTACAGATAACACATAACACAAACGCAGCTTACACGCAGCCACCTCTCACTCTATTTTTAGAATACACAACAATTCGGTACCTGTGGCAGCTGGTCGATCAGGAAATCTGTGACGTCATCGCCGTGGCTAGCATGGATCAGACCCAGTGCAAAAAGGGACCCGCCCTCGCTATAGGGACTTCCGGCTCTGTGGCGATTGTAGGTGAGAATACGACATACAGTCAATATTTTGGCTCGCGGTCAAAAATGGGGTACATGCAAGAGGACGTTTTTTATTCAATACAATTTGGCGGTTGCGTGCGGATGGGGCGTGTTTGGCGGAGGATAGGATTAAAAAATGGGGTGTCCTTCGGATTATATAAATACAATTTCCCCTGTTTGTGTTTGCAGTATATGTAATAGTGTATCGAAC